AAAAAAAAAAAAAAAAAAAAAAAAGCAAAAAAACCAAACAGCAAAAAGTCCAATCGCCAAAAAATCCCCAACAAAATAAAACTTCCAGGAAAAATAACTTTATAACTGTTCTGGGAACAAAGATTCCTTCAACAGGACACAAAAAAGTATTAATAAGAAAAACAAGCAAATAGAAAGTTGAAGTTCATCAACCTAAAGAAGTCCTTGCCCAGTGTGGTGGCGCTCTAGAAAGCTAAGGCACATTTGAGCCCAGCCTGACTTAGTAAGTCTCAGTCTCACTCTCAGTCTCTCTCTCACACAAATAAATGAATAAATGGGGTTGGGGTGTAGTTCAGTGTGGAGGCCCTGGGTTTAATCTCCACGATAGCCAAACCAAAAAAAAAAAAACAATTCCTGTAACTCAAAAATTAGAAGGCAATACTCTTGCTGGAAAGATAAATTTTATGCATAATAAATAAGGTAAGCCTTCACTTAATTAAAAAAACCAAACAAACCCAATTTAAACCAGGCATGGTGGTGAACACCGGCAGTCGCAGCTAAACGGGAGGGTGAGGCAGGCTGATCACTCGCCTTGAGCCTAGGACTGTGAACCTATGGCATGCATGCTGCAGTGGGACACAGAGCTGTCTCTGTCAGCACCTGAGTGAAGTCGCCCAGCACTGCCCCAGCAGCTGAGCATTGCATATTCAGGTTTAACTGCAGTTTTGGCACTCTGGGATAAATAAGTGGGTTCTGGATGCAGTTTGAGCACTTGGTATCTAAAAGGTTTGTCACCACTGGTCTAGTAGTTTGAGGCCAGCTTGGTTAATACAGAAAGACACTCATCTCAAAGAAGAAAAAAGTTAACACGATGGTAAGGGAAAATATTTAAATCCTGTAAAAACTGAGTAAATATTTAAAAGCTTTCTGGGCTGGGGATATAGCTCAGCGGCGCAGCACCAGCCTGGTAAGCGTAAGGTCCTGAGTTTAATTCCTGATACCAAAAAAGAAAAAAAAAAAAAGGAAAATAGAAACAAGCTTTTTTTCTGATAAATGTCAGTATTTATCCAAGCTGGGTCAATGTGAATGACAAAATGGAACTGGATGAGTTCTAAGATAAGTCTGGGTAATATAAGCTAACAGGGTAAAGCTATTATGTCACTTCATCAATTAAAGTTCATTAAAAAGAATTACCTGTTTATATTCATTAATACAACTTTGGCAGCAAAACCTCTTGCGCTGACCTCCAATCAGGATACTGTTTCCCATATTTTTATCAGGCATGTATTCTCCACACTGTTCACAGCAGTTCATTTTTAGACCATTGACCAACCTGTACTTATTAAAGCAATGGTTACTGCACAGCTTGTGAGTTACATTATTAACACTGACTTCATGGCGAACCTAAAAGAGAAACCGAGATTTAGTAACTAGAATACATGGACCAGGTTGTAAAATAGGCAATGAAATAGCTAGTTTCTGCACCAGAAATAAAAAACCACTAGTAATTAGGTCAGTGAAAGAAATATTCAGGAAAAAGATTAGAAACATATTTCTTGTTCTTTCACTTTTTCTTTAATTTCTTTTATTAAACTCAGGACCTTGTGCTTGCCAGGCAGGCGCTTATGCCACTGAGCTATATCCCCCACCCACTTTTTCTTTAATTTCTTTGTGAAATCAAGATTTGCAAAACAAAAATGAAAATTAGTAATAACTTCCTTGATTTGTTTAGCATGACAGGAAACAACTGTTTTGTCTGTCTTTTAGAGACAGGGTCTTGCTATGCAGTTCAGGCTGGCCTTGAGCTCACTTTGTAGCCCAGGATGGTCTTGAACTTGCAATGATCTTCCTGCCTCAGCCTCCCAAGTGCTGGGATTACAGGCGTGTGCCACCACACCTGGCCACTGTTTTTGATATGACCTGCTTACAAGAAACAGATTGGGAATTCTAAGCACAATGGAGTTCACTGCCCTAGCATACTTGTGGGAGAAATCAGTACTCTCCATAATCAGGATGGTATCAGCACGTCAATCAGTGAGGCAGCTCTCAAGGTGGTAACTTGAGAACAAATTGTGGTCTTGATATGCCCAGCTCTGAGGTCACCAACACCGAATTTAGTTACCAAGGACACTGTAAAACGAGGACTGCCTGAATGTGTATTTCTTCTTCTATTAATATGTAAGACTGTAACACCAATTAAATAAAATGAATAAACTACAGAAGAGCACAAATTCATTCTATTTGTTATCCTTTAATTTGGATCTGTTTCCTTTATGTCCTGAAAGTACTACTTTTATAAATGTTTGCAGTACTGGGAGTTGAATGAAGTTTCTCAGCTACATTCCCCAGACTATTTTTAATTTTGGGACTATATCTCACTAAATTGCCTAGGCTGGACTCAAACTTGCAATCTTCCTGCCTCAGCCTCCGGAGTGTTGGGGTTACAGGTGTGGGCCATTATGCTAGCTCTGAAACTACCTATTTTAGTTAGTGTTGCTGATATAAACAAATTCCACCGTAAAACTACTGCCTTGTTTGATTACTAATTGTATAGAAACAATAGATTGGGTGAGGTGGCACACATCTGTAACCCCAGCACTTGGCAGGCAGAGGCAGGAGGGTCATTGTGAGTTCAGGGGCAGGTTAACCTACACAATAAGAAAAACAAACAAGCAAAAATGTGTACTTTCCAGACTTTGTAAAGGGAGTACTTGTTAATAAAATAGTTCTGACATATCATTTATCTTCTTTTTAGCCTCATGGTGTACACTTGAAATATGTGTACATTATGTAAACGACAGGGCTTACAGTACTAAACATTAAAAGCTAAATTATCTGTTAGCATAAATAACAAGTATAAAAATCCAGACCTCTGTGAGTTTACTACAGATTATACATCTTGACTTATTAAAAACTCCTTTTTTAAGATGCTGACTGTCTTCACAGAGAGACACAGATGCACTAGAAAGTTCTTGAAAGGATTTGCTTGATGCCACTGGAGGAAGAACGGCAGCTTTCTTTGTAGATGCAGCTCTGAAACAGAAAGGACAGATACGGAAGTTTAGAACACTGCTTTTTTGGTGCTGGGGACTGAAACCGAGGCCTAGCACATGACAGGCAACTACTCTGCCTCTGAGCTGCACCCTCACTCGATTTAATTATGACCTATTCCTAGGAATCAACTGTGACTTGAAGATGTAGCAAAATCCACTTTTAGTTTCAATGCTCTGCGTTCCTAAATAATACGAAAAGAGAAGATTCCAAGGTTAAAAATTTTTTTTTGTGGCACAAGAACCTTGCTATAGTTCTTTAGCTTTCCGGAAGCATTCAAAATGGTGGTAACAATTTGACAGAACTAAGAAAAGGGCAGGGGCAGAAGCAGAAGCAGTGCCAGAGAACGTGGCAATATATTTCCATTTTCTGGCCAAGAGAAAGGACAGTATGAAGCAGTCCAAAGCTCTGACACTACTATAGGTTAAGTCAGATTCAATAAACTTGAGGATACCCCTGAAATAGTTCTACCAATGAATCTGCAGTTACATTTCCTTATGAGCTAGTACTCAACCATAGAGAAAATTGTTGAAAGTTACCGCTTACTTTTTACATATTACATTTCGTGTCTTTCGAGTACGTTTGTGAGAAAAGGAAGAGAGGCAAGTAGTTGAACAGAAGAGGTGAGCTGATCCTTTCCGCTGGTAAGCTGTTTGTCCCTTCTGTAAAGGATTTTTGCAGTTTGCGCAAGTGATTTTTGCTGGTTTAGTGGGCTGCTGTTGGGCAGAAGGCTGGAAAATCTGTTTAGGAAGTGAGGCCACTGGTGAGAGAGAATCCACCCCTGGCCGTTTCTGATTACGGGGAAATGATGCTGACTGGGAGATCCAAGAATCTGAAAATATGAGGTACACAAGAAAAAGTCATGTAATAAATCAAAACTTACATCAGAAAAATATTTTAAATTTCCAGTACTAAATATTTTAAAGAGACAGCCACACATGAAGTGACTGAAATATATGGTGAATATTTCAAAATTATGAAAAAATTATTACAATAAAAGACGTGTAACTATTAAGCCTTCCCAACACTCCCATTTGGTGTGGACAGACTTTTCCCATCATTCAGGCCATTCTGTGGGGCAGTCCTAAAAGCACTCAATCAGTGTCTTTAGGAGGTGCGATCAAACATACGGTGAATGCCACTGCTGAGTGCCATCTAACACAAAGGCAGGCTCGTGAAAACAGCAGTGTCCTAAACCACCTTATTCACTGTATCTGACACATGCAACTTCTAGCTCTTCCCCAAAGTCAAAATGATCACGAAAGGCAAAGTTTCTGAGTCAATTAAGGACACTGAGGCAGCCATGACAGTATAACTAAGATACCCACAGAAGAGGACTTGCTGAACTGCCTCAAAAAGTGGCAAGAACAATGGGGTAAGTGTGTTTGAAGCAAGGTGGAGTATTTTAAGGGGGATTAATGGCAAAGTATCTTTCACTAATACAATTTCTTTAAATATTCACTAAATGTAGTTACAGCTGGGCAGTCTTGATGAATAATCTAGAACTACACACTTTGTATTCCAAGGAAAGGGTAGTCCCTTGTGCCAACAACAATAAAGCAAATGGTGGCCCTTACAACTGTGCAGTGCAGTAGCCATCAGCTATTAAATCAGATTCCCTATCTTCAAAATGTGTTTCCTGGCCTGGGGTGAGGCTCAGTGGTACAGGGCTTTCCTAGTAGAGCTCAGGCCCTGAATTTTGAGTGTTGCCTGGATTCAATGGCAACACCCAAAAGGAAACAACTCCCCCACCAAAGAACTCCCAAAATGTGTCTCTTGAATTTACTGACGTATACATGTATATGAAGATGGTTCCTTTTTTTGTGGTGAAGGGGATTGAATCTAGGGCCTTGTGTTTGCTAGGTAAACATCTAACACATTCCCAGCCTGCTGTGTTTTGTCTCTTTTAGCTATAAGAAAGCAGTTAAACCTAAACTCATCACTGTGTAAGAAATGAATGAGATAACACAGTCATGAAGCACTGTGTGCACACAGGAGACATTTACAATCTATCAGATACCTTTCTTTCGAACAGGAAAATATAAATATATCTATAGAAGCAAAGGATATGAAAAACACAGATAATTACAGTGAAAGCTTGGCTATCTAGAAACACTGGAGAAATGTGCTAAGTCTGGTACTTTACATATAATATTTATGAAAAACTAAAAGCATACACAAAAGTTGAAAATTTTTTTATACCTGAAACCCATATAAAGCCAGGAAAGCCTGTAAGTGGTGCAAGCCTGTAATCTCAGCATCAGAAGGCTGAGGGACGAGGATTGCTGAGTTCAAGGCCAGCCTGGGCTACAAAGTCAGTTCGAAGACAGCCTGAACTGCATAGTGAGAACCTGTCTCAAACTAAACAACGCCCCCCTCAAAACCAACCCACCTTTCCCCACAAAAAGCAAAACCCATATACCCACCAACTGAACTCAACACTATTTTATCTGACAATGCTTTGTCACACCTTTCCATCTATTACTGTCTTAACAATTAATCCATCATTTTTGTGTGTATCAACAAAACTGCAGACATTAGTATATTTCCTTTCAAAATGTGCTTGATGTTAACACATTCTTTCTACAATTATCACTCAGCCTTCTAGAATACTATTCAGGGCCAGGGATATAGCTCAGCAGCACAGTGCCTGCCTGGCAAGCATGAGGTCCTGAGTTCAATTCCCAGGACCAAAATACACACACACATGCGCGCGCGTGCGCGCGCGCACACACACACACACACCCCTAAACACTACTGCTCTACTGCTTTAATAAGGTTATCCAGGACCACACACACACACACACACACACACACCCCTAAACCCCCGAACACTACTGCTTTAATAAGGTTATCCAGGACCGACATACATTTCCTAACCTATCGTATTCTCAAGTTGGTATAGGTGAAGTGCTTCTTCAATTTGAACATGCATATGAAACCACTTAAGCAAGACAAACAGGGGCCACAGCCAAGCATAGTGATACATGCTTGTAATCTTAGCACTCAAGGGGCTGAGGCAGGAGGATTGCCCTACATTTGAGGCCAGCCTGGGATACATAGTTCAAGGACAGCCTGAAGTCCTGACGCAAAAAAAAGATCCTGACACATACACATACACACACAAAAAGAGAGAAACAGGAATTTTTAAGGTATACAGTATTTTCAACTCTATTCAAAGACAGCTTTTGTCATCATTAATGGGCCTCCAACTGCTCCCAAAGCCTCTCACAATGCTACTGTCACTAACAAGAGCATCTCCCTTCACTTCTAAATTGCCACCAACTCTAACTTTGTCTTATTTTCAGATTCTTTTATTTTACAAGTACAAGCAAACCAAACAACAAGAGGAATGCATTTATTTTTCAGGATGATATGCTGGTAAATCTTTATCTAAATAAACTATATTAAAGAGAATGTTTCTTTCCTATTTTTTTTTTTTCTTCTGGTGGTACTGAGTATTAAACCCAAGACTGCACAGGCTAGGTAAGTACTCTACCACTGAGCTACATCCTCCCAGCCCCAATCTGTCCTGGTTTACAATTATTCCATTAGTAAAAACAGCATGTTGCTCCATTCCAAACAGAACAGAAAGTACACATTCATGCACAGAACATGCAATCTGGGATAAAACTTTCTGTGCACCAACCTGACGGCAAACTAGGCTTAACAAACAGAGGTAAAAGCGAAACGTAAGATTTGTCATTACAGTTGGTACGGGAGAAATAAAACCTTGCCAAAGGTAGTTTAGTGTTGTGGACTTACCCACAATTAGAGGGAATATATATACATACGACTGTGGTAAGTGTGTTGCTGAGAATTGAACCCAAGGCCTCTCATATGCCAGGCAAATATACCACCACTGAGCTAGATTCCCAGCCCAGATAGAATTATGGAAAATGAGCCATCAACTATACTGCTCAAGACATAATTTTGAAAGTATTTCTTATTTAGTTGGTTTTATTTTTTGAGAGACAGCTTTGGTATGTAGCTCGAGCTACCCTTGAACTCACTATGTAGCCCAAGCTGGCCCTGAACTTGAGTCTATCCGCTTGCCTCAGCCTCCCAAATGCTGAGATTACAGGCATGTGCCAGCATGCCTGTTTTTTATTTAGTTTTGTTGCACGCCTAAAAGTAATCTATCTTTTGTTTAGACTTCAACTATTTAATTTTTCCTAAAGTTTCTAGAAAATGAGCCTAGTCAGGTGTGGTGGCATATGCCTGCAATCCTAGTAATCTGGGAGGTTAAGGAAGGGGATCACAAATTTGAATCCAGCCCAGGAAATTAAGCGAGACCCTGTCTCAAACATTTTTAAAAAGCTGAGGGATTTGGCTTAGTGAAAAGGCTGTAGGTTCAGTCTCTAGTGCCTCAAAAAAAAAAAAAAAAAAAAAAAAATCATCAAATGTTACCTTTTTAAGTGCTGGGGACTGAACCCAGGGGCTCACGCATGCTAGGAAGACATGCACTCTATCACTGGGCTACACCCTAGTTCCCCAAACAAAATTCAAAATAGGGAGAAGTTACACATCAGTCTAAATCCTTCAATTTATTGTAGGGGAAATTAAGATACAGAAGTTAGGTGTTCATTAAGTATGGAGTAGATCTACTATTCAAATTCTGGTTGTTATTCATGTCTTCCTCCAACTACATTCTGCCTAAAATCTTTTAGTACATCTTTAGGGTTGGTCTGCTAAGGAGTTTTCTCAGTGCTTCGATGTTTTTTCTGTTGTTTTACCATTATCCTGTATCCCATAAATATGTAGAATTACTTTATGTTAACGAAAAATGACTGAAAAAAGTATAATGAAATACATCCTACAGAGTTGCATTACCATCAAAGGCAAGTGTGATTTATAAGCCTGTTTTTCATAACATTTGTTCTGTTGCTATTATTTTATTATAGGGTCTATTACTTGATGTTTAAGAGGGACTCATGTATTTGTAATTCTTCTGCTTTGGTCGCACAAAGTAAAGTGCTTGGATTATAGGAAAGTACAAACATAGGTATCTTAAGAGCAAAAGACAATTATTTAAATAACTGCACAACTACCACCCAAATAAATATACAAAATATTTCTAATATCTGTTATCCTAATTTCCTTGCCAGTCAGAAATTTTCTTCCCATTTCATAAGCCACTTGTATTGATTTCTACCAGCAAACATTAATTTTACTTTATTTGGTACTGGGAATCGATCTTAGGACCTTGTGCTTGCCAGGCAGGCGCTGTGCCGCTGGGCTAAATCCCCAGCCCCACAAAAATCATACAGTATACACTTTTTTGTTTCGTTTCCTTAGCCCTATATTTTGTTGAAGTGCTGCCCACTGCACATAGGAAGTTTTGTTTTCAGGCAGTGCTGGGAATGGGACTCTACCACTGAGCTACATCTCCTGAAATGGTCTTTCATGGTTTCTAAGTATTTCATTCCTTTCTAGTGTGGATAAACATTTGGATTCCTTTTTTTTTTCCTCCGGTACTGGGAACCGAACTCACGACCTTGCGCTTGCCAGGCAGGCACTTTGCCGCTGAGCTAAATCCCCAGCCCCTGGATTTCTTTTTTTGAGACACGGTAGTTGACGCTGACTTTGAACTCACTATGGAGCTAAGGTTGGCCTCGAACTTGCAGTGATCCTGCTGCCTCAGCCTCCAGAGTGCTAGGATTACTGGTGTGTGCCACTATGCTAAGGTCAGTTTTTGACTATGATTTGCCTACATGCCTTTTTTGAGTGCTGGAGACCAAACCTAGGTCCTTCAGGTGGGTATTGTGGTGCATGCCTGCACCCTGGCACTCAAGGTAGCCAGGCAGGTGGGTAGAAAATTAAAACTCCAGA